TGCTGCCCCCCCAGTACCCCTCCGTCCCCTGCTGCGCCCCGGCCCGCTGCACCCCACACCCTGCCCCCCGCAACACGCTGTGCCCCAGTCACTCGCTCTGTCCCGCAGAAGGAACGGGAGAACGGCTCCAACCTGGTGTTCATGTTCCGTCTGCCTTTCGCTGCGGGGAAGGTCTTCAGCGTCAGCATGCTGGACACGCTGCTCTACCAGGTACCCCGGGGACCCCCTCCCTGGGGACCCCCCTTCCTGCCCTTGGGAACCCTCCCTGGGGATGCCCCCACCCTCAGGGACCTCCCCTCCCTGTCCCTGGGGACCCTCTTGGGGACCTCCCCTCCCTGCCCTTGGGCACCCGCCCTGGGGATACCCTCTATTCCCTGCTCCTGGGAACCCCCTCCCCCACTTCCAGCCCTGCATCCCCTTGCCTCCCTCCCTACCCGGTCACCCCCCCCCCCGCCCCCCCCCCCGTGGGACGTTCCAGCCCCCCTCACCCCCGCATAGGACATGCCAGCCCAGAGCCGGCTGTGCTGGGTCCAGGGGCCAGGCTGGCCACACCGAGCTGCACTGTGCGATCCGCCCCCACCCCCTCCTTGCCAGCAGGGGGAGATGGGGAGTCGGGTGGGGGGTGGCCCAGAAAGCTCCCCATTGACCCTCCCCCCGTCCTGCAGTCGTTCGTGAAGGATTACATGATCTCCATCACCCGCCTGCTCCTGGGACTCGACTCCATGCCAGGCTCCGGCTTCCTGTGCGCGGTGAGTACCCGGCCGGGCGCTGCCTGGCACCTGCCCCTCACCCCGGCCTCTGGGCATGTGTGTCTGCGTCCCTCTGCCTGCCTCTCACCTGTCCTATCCATCCCTCTGCTTTACACATCTATCTGGCCGGTGATGTGTCCCCACACACGGCCTTCTGTCTGTCCGTCCCTACACACAGCCCTCTGTCCGTCCGTCCATCCATCCCCTCACACGGGCCTCTGGCCAGCTGTCTGTCCATCCCCTCACACAGCCCTCCGTCCATCCGTCTATCCGTCCCCTCACACGGCCCTCCGTCCGTCCGTCCCCACACATGGCCCTCCGTCCATCCATCTGTCCGTCCCTACACACGGCCCTCCGTCCATCCGTCTGTCCGTCCCCTCACATGGCCCTCTGGACAGCTGTCTGTCCATCCCCTCACACAGCCCTCCGTCTATCCGTCCCCACACACGGCCCTCTGTCTGTCCATCCCCACACACAGCCCTCCGTCCATCCCCACACACGGCCCTCCGTCTGTCCGTCCCTACACACAGCCCTCCGTCCATCCGTCCCCTCACATGGCCCTCCGGCCAGCTGTCTGTCCGTCCCCTCACACGGCCCTCCGTCCATCCGTCTGTCCATCCCCTCACACGGCCCTCTGGCCAGCTGTCTGTCTGGCCCCACACACGGCCCTCTGTCTGTCCATCCCTACACATAGCCCTCCGTCCATCCGTCTATCCGTCCCCTCACACGGCCCTCTGGCCAGCTGTCTGTCCGTCCCCTCACACAGCCCTCTGGCTAGCTGGCTGGCTGGCCCCACACACGGCCCTCTGTCTGTCCATCCCCACATGCAGCCCTCTGTCTGTCCAAGGGGCGCCATTTAGAAGGGGCAGGGGGTCGACTTTTGTACTCTGCTCACAGCACATGCCCTAACTCCAGACAGAGCTCTTAACTGTACATAGTTAACTGCACACAAAGTAGGGAAATACAACCTAGATGGAGCTACTATAAGGGGGTTGGAAAATCGTCCCCAGAGAGTAGTTATCAGTGGTTCAGTCATGCTGGAAGGGCATAACGAGTGGGGTCCTGCAGGGATCGGTTCTGGGTCCGGTTCTGGTCAATATCTTCATCGATGATCTAGCTAATGGCATAGAGAGCACACTTATAAAGTTTGCGGACGATACCAAGCTGGGAGGGGTTGCAAGTGGTTTGGAGGATAGGATTAAAATTCAAACTGGAGAAATGGTCTGAAGTAAATAGGATGAAATTCAATAAGGACAAATGTAAAGTACTCCACCTAGGAAGGAACAATCAGTTGCACATACACAATGGGAAATGACGGCCTAGGGAGGAGTACGGCGGAAAGGGATCTGGGGCTCATAGAGGATCACAAGCTAAATATGAGTCAACAGTGTGACGCTGTTGCAAAAAAAACAAACATCATTCTGGGATGTATCAGCAGAAGTGTTGTAAGCAAGACACGAGAAGTGATTCTTCCGCTGATTAGGCCTCAACCGGAGTATTGTGTCCGGTTCTGGGTGCCACATTTCAGGAAAGATGTGGACAAATTGGAGAGAGTCCAGAGAAGAGCAACAAAAATGATGAAAGGTCTAGAAAACATGACCTCTGAGGGAAGATTGAAAAAAATTGGGTTTGTTTAGTCTGGAGAGGAGAAGACTGAGAGGGGACATGAGAACAGTTTTCAAGTACATAAAAGGTTGTTACCAGGAGGAGGGAGGTAAATTGTTCTCGTTAACCTCTGAGGATAGGACAAGAAGCAATGGGCTGAAATTGCAGCAAGGGCGGTTCAGGTTGGACATTAGGAAAAACTTCCTACCTGTCAGTGGTTAAGCACTGGAATAAATTGCCCGGGGAGGTTGTAGAATTTCCATCGTTGGGGATTTTTAAGAGCCGATTGGACAAACCCCTGGCACGGATGGTCTAGACAATACTTAGTCCTGCCAGGAGTGCCGGGGACTGGACTAGATGCCTCTCGAGGTCCCTTCTAGTTCTGTGATTCTCTGTGAGGAGTTCTGTGCTGCTCTCAGCGGGAGTTTGTTTATAACCAGGGGCAGGTGATTAAGATAACAAAAGACTTGTCATTAAAGTAGATTAAGGCTGGTTAGTTGATCCTGAAAGCCGTGCCAGGCACTCCAGTGAAAAGACAGGAAACAAAGGGTAGGAATAAATGGTCAGTTTTCAGACTGGAGAGAGGTAAATAGTGGTGTCCCCCAGGGGTCTGTACTGGGCCCAGTCCTATTCAACATATTCATAAATGATCTGGGAAAAGGGGTAAACAGTGAGGTGGCAAAATTTTCAGCTGATACAAAACTACTCAAGGTAGTTAAGTCCCAGGCAGACTGCAAAGAGCTACAAAAGGATCTCTCAAAAGTGGGTGATTGGGCAACAAAATGGCAGATGAAATTCAATGTTGATAAATGCAAAGTAATGCACATTGGAAAACATAATCCCAACTATACATATGAAATGATAGAGTCTAAGTTAGCTGTTACCACCCGAAAGAGAGATCTTGGCGTCATTGTGGATAGTTCTCTGAAAACATCCACTCCATGTGCAGTGCAGTCAAAAAAGCGAACAGGATGTTGGGAATCATTAAGAAAGGGATAGAAAATAAGACAGAAAATATCATGTTGCCTCTATATAAATCCATGGTATGCCCACAGCTTGAATACTGTGCGCAGATGTGGTTGCCCCATCTCAAAACAGATCTATTAGAACTGGAAAAGGTGCCGATAAGGGCAACAGAAATAATTAGGGGGATGGAGCAGCTTCTGTATGAGGAGCGATTAATAAGACTGGGACTTTTCAGCTTGGAAAAGAGACGACTAAGGGGGGATAGGATAGAGGTCTACAAAATCATGACTGGTTTGGAAAAAATGAATAAGGAAGTTGTCACGGAGTTCCCGGGCGATGCTCTGGAACTGCTCCCCACAAAGCCAGGCAGGACTCTGGGGAGCCTCCTCTCCCTTGGAGCAGACTGTCTCCAGGGCAAGAAGCTCACACGGCTTCACCTCCTGGGTCTCTCCTGGGAGCATTCAGCATCCTCTGCCCCTCCGTGCGCTTCCCACAGCGAGTCTGCCCAGGCGGGGTCCTGGGGAAGCCAGAGGGTCCTGCACCCCCACTTCACAGTCAGACGTGACTCTCAGCCAGCCAGTAAAACAGAGGTTTATTAGATGACAGGAACACGGTCTAAAACAGAGCTTGTAGGTCCAGCGAACGGGACCCCTCCGCCGGGTCCATCCTGAGGAGCAGCGAGCCAGACACCCACATCTGCCCTCACTCCTAGTCCCCAGCTGGCTCCAAACTGAAACTCTCCAGGCCCTCCTTCTTTGGCTTTTGTCTCTCTTCCGGGCCAGGAGGTCACCTGATCTCTTTGTTCTCCAACACCTTCAGTTGGCACCTTTGCAGAGGAGGGACCCTGGCCATTAGTAGCCAGGAGACAGAGTGTCGGCCATTCTCTGTGCAGACACTATCACAGGGGCCTTCTTGGGCTCTGCAACAATTACACCCTGATCCCCCCACCTAGATACCTAAGAAATACATAGGGGAAACCGAGGCACCCACACAGTATTCAGAGAAAACATTAAGAACATTCCCACTTCGTCACAGAAGTGTTACTTCTTCACTTAAAACACAAGAACTAGGGGTCACCCAATGGAATTAATAGGCAACAGGTTTAAAACAAACAAAAGGAAGTTCTTCATCACACAGCGCACAGTCAACCTGTGGAACTCCTAGCCAAGGGATGTTGTGAAGGCCAAGAGTATAACAGGGTTCAAAAAAGAACTAGGTAAGTTCACGGAGGATAGGTCCATCAGTGGCTATTAGCCAGGACGGGCAGGGATGGTGTCCCTAGTCTCTGTTTGCCAGAAGCTGGGAATGGGCGACAGAGGATGGATCACTTGGTGATTCCCTGTTCTGTTCATTCCCTCTGGGGCACCTGGCACTGGCCACTGTCAGAGGACAGGACACTGGGCTAGATGGACCTTTGGTCTGACCCAGGTCGTTCTGATGTTCTTATATAGAACCCAGATGTATCTGCCCCCAACTGTAACCCAGTAGACCCCACTCCCCTCCCAGGGCTGAGATAGAACCCAGGAGTCCTGACGGGGTCTCCCTCTCTGCAGAGTTAGTACCAAAGTAAGAATATACTTTACATTTTTAAACCTAACCAGCGTCCCTTAAGTGACTTGCCACAAGCTGTCAGAACATGTTAGTATTAGGGCTGAGTGGGTCTAATATTTATTGCATTTTCTTTCTTTTCTGTAGGAATTCGATCCAGGGCTCCTGTCAGCTCATTACTAAGTTCTCTGCCAAACCACTAGAGTTTTCAGGTCCCTAAGTAGCCCCTGGCCTGGCATCACTGTTAAAGTTGCCCCCACCAAATTCGAAATGGCACCCCTGGTCGGTCCCCACACACAGCCTTCTGTCCGTCGGTCCCCACACGACCCCCCCCGTCACCCCTCCCCCTTCCCTTCTGTTCTCAGTGTGGGTCTCGCTCCTCGTCCCCCTGCAGGGGCCGGTGGGGGGGGGCAGGGGAATGTCCCCTCCCCCGCAGGGTGACCCCGTCTCTCCCCTGCAGCTGAAGGTGACCGAGGATGACCTGTGGATCCGCTCGTACGGGCGCCTCTACCAGAAGCTCTGCTCCAGCACGGGGGACATCCCGATCGGCATCTACCGCACCGAGAGCCACCTGTTCTCCGCCGCCGAGGTGCGGGCCGGGCAGCTGGGGCCTTCCCCGGGGAGCGGGGCTGGGCTGGGCCCCCATTCCCCCCCCCCCCGGGACCGGGCCGGGGCCCCCCCCCCCCCCCCTGGGAGCAGGGCTCGCCCCTCTCTCCATCCCCCCCTGGAAGCAGGGCTGCCCCCCCCATCCACCCCTAGTTCACGCTCACACCCCCCTTCAGGAGCGGGATCATCCCCTCCAGCGTGTTCAGGGGTCAGGGGCTGGTCTCCAGGGCGGGGTGTGGGGTGCAGGGGGCAGACGGCCCCCCCGCGCTAACCCCCACCCCCCCAGCCGCAGGTCTCCGTCAGTGTGGAGGACTACGAGGACACGCGGGAGCCGCGCGACGCCCTGATCTGCCGCCTGGGGCCCCGCGACTCCACGGGCAGTGACCAGGCCGAGCAGCCGCTGCTGCGCCGCAAGAGCATGCAATGGGCCCGGCGGCTGAGCCGCAAGGGCGGGCGCCACCCCAGCAAGACGGCGGCCGAGCGCATCAGCCAGCAGCGCCTGACGCTCTACCGCCGCTCCGAGCGCCAGGAGCTCAGCGCCCTGGTCAAGACCCGCATGAAACACCTGGGGCTCTCGGCCGCCGGATACAGTACGGGGGGGCCCGGGCAGGCTGGGCTGGGGGGGTCTGGGCGGGCTGGGCCCGGGGCTGAGCTGGGGTGGGGGCCCCAGGGGGGCTGGGCCCAGGGGCTGAGCTGGGGGGTGGTCTGGGCTGGCTGGGCCCAAAGGGCTGAGCTGGGGGAGATCTGGGGGGGCTGGGCCCAGGGGCTGAGCTGGGGGGATCCCAGGGGGGCTGGTCCCAGGGGCTGAGCTAGGGTGTGTCCTGGGCTGACTGGTCCCAGAGGCTGAGCTCAGGGGGGGCTGGGCCCAAAGGGCTGAGCTGGGGGGGATCCGGGCGGACTGGTCCCGGGGGCTGATCTCGGGGGTGTCCCGGACGGGCTGGGCCCGTGGGGCTGGTACTGGGCCGGCTGACTCTGCCCAGGGATGGGTTGGGGGCTGGTCAGGGGTCTCACCCTCCCCCCTCCACCCCCGCAGTGGACATGATGGACCACGGCAACACGCTGTCCTACATCCTGCTCAACCCCTCGCCTGACACGCGGCTGGAAATCAACGACGTGGTGTGAGTGCCGGTCGCCGGGGCACGGCCAGCAGGGGGCGGGGGGCTCTCTGGGGGGGCACCCACACCCTTTGCCCAGGCTCCTGTACCCTTCCCCCTCGATCCCCATCCCCAGGCTTAGCCCCCCTCACAGCCCCCAGCCCCCTCCAGCTCCCCCGGCCCTCCCCTGGTGAGGGAGCACCCCCCAGCCATGGGCCCAGGAGGGGTGTGTGAGGTGCTGCCCATGGGAGCCAGCTGAGGTCACTCAATTAGGGTGAACTGCAAACAAAACGGGGCAGCCAAACCCCCAATGCTGGTGGATATTCCAATACTTAGATTTACCACCCAGCCCAAAACAGCCTCTGTATTACCTCACTGGTTACTCAGAGTCCAACCAACGCAGTTCCCTTAAAGCCTCAGGCCTCCGTCCAGACACACATGCCAGATATGATGCTGATTACTGAAAATCTTATCTCATCATATAAAAGAAATGGTTCTTCCAACCCCAAAGGATCAGCCACATACCCAGGTCCAATGATAACTTAGATCTTACCCAAAATACACGCTATAGCCAATCCTTATTAACTAAACTAAAATTTATTAAAAAAGAAAAGAGAGAGAGTGTTGGTTAAAAGATCAATATACAGACAGACTTGAATTCAATTCTTGAGGTTCAGACACAGCAGAGATGATCTTGTAGTTGCCAAAAGTCCTTTTAGAAACAGTCCATAGGTTATAGTCCAATGTCCATATTCAGGGTGGCTCCAGTCAGTGACTGGGGATCTCAATCCTTGTGGCTCAGGGTTTCCCCCTCTTGAAACCCAAAGCAGACCTGAGATGAAGCAGGATCGTGTCCCAGGGTTTTTATACATTTCCAGCAGCCTTTCGGCCTGAGAAAACAATAGGCTTAATTCTCCTTCTTCCAAACATCCTGGCAATGAGCACAGGGTAATTTATCCATTAAACAGTTCAGATCCAGGTTACCACAACCTGCAAAGAGACATCGAGACAATAATACTATTTCACTCAAGTATCATCCGAAATGTTAATATTCCTTTTTTGATCTTTGAATCAGCGCTATAGCACTAGACCAGACTTGTTTGCTGACATCACAAGCTCTGAGCAAACACCTCCCCTTTCATCTCTAACACTGCAGACTTGCATTTCACAGCCCTATTCATTTACAGATCTTCCTAACCGGTCCTTAAGGTTCACCCATGGGGCAGGTCAGTCTGGGAGGTAATTAACTCTTTCTGGCCCTGTCATCTTTCAGTGAGATATTATATCGCACTCATAACGTCACAGGGGGAGGGCCGGGGCAGAGCCAGCCTGCTCATTTGGGGGGGAGGGGAATGAACTGCCTGGCCCCCGGCCCCCCCAACGTCTCCTTTGTCTCCCCACAGGTATCTCATCCGGCCCGACCCCCTGACCCTGGTCTCCGCCAGCAGCCCCAGCCGGAAAGCCAGCGTCAGCCGCTCCGAGGACCTCAAGGACAGCACTCACCTGTGACCCCAGCCAGGAGACACGTGCCAACACTGTGACCCCCCATCCCCGCTTCTCGGCAATGGACTCTGCCAGCCCCCGAGCCCAGATCTGCCCCCAGGGCACCGGGCACCTGCCGGGAGGGGCTTGGTCCTGCCGCCACCAGACCCGGTCCTGCCCCCGTCTATACGGCTCCTGGAGCCATGGGGGCGCCGCCCAGAGAAGACTTGGGGCCGTGCCCGTTGCGGGTCCAGTGCTTTTCCATCGGCTCTGGAAAGAGCAGTCCTGTCCCCAGTGCAGGCAGACAGGCCTGCCCCGCTGTGCCCGTGCCCACTGCCCCAGGCCTCCTGGAGCTCCGGCTGGCTGAGATGGGCCCCGTGCCCTGCCCCATGCTTTCCAGCCCCAGAGATGGGAATCCGGCCCCCGAGGCTGGGGGCGCCCCCTGGCATGCCAAGGCCCTTAGGGCATTTCTCCTTGGCATCAGCCCATGCCCAGTCTCTCTTCCAGCTTGGATTGGGTTGTGTGCCCCTCCGCTCCCCCCAGGCAGCTCCCCATCCCCACGCTGGGACCAGGTTGGGACCAGGGAGCCGAGCTGTCTGCGGCGGGCACCCCTCCTGTTTAAGGATCGAGGCCGGGCATGGTGGGAAATGCCCCCCCCCCCCCCCCCCCCCCCCGCGGGGGGGAGGGCCCCCCCCCCCCCCCCCCCGGGCCCGGGATACGGGCCAAGGGACTTCTTAATGCCAGAGATTCCTCCGGCTCTGGTCTCACTGTGAACATGGGCTCTTAGATGTACAGATACAATAAAACTCAAGAGGATCTCTAACTGCCTTGGAGACGCTCCATCAATGTGTGTGTGTGGGGGGTCTGCCTCTCCCCACTTGAATCTCGCCATATTTCCTAGGATCCCCCATAAATCTCCAGCTCCCGGAGTGCTGTGATCACAGGAGACGTTTGGCTTTTGTTTACCCAGCAATGAGCAAACCTGTGCAGCCGTCGGGTGCCAGAAGAGCCGGGCTCGGACAGAAGACGCAGCGCTCGGAGAGCTGAGCCGCCGGGCTAGGGTTGTTTAAGCCCTTGTGATTTTTCGCTCCGTTGGCTGCCGGCCACCCTGGGGCGTTGGAAATCTGTGATTCGGTCTAAGCACCGCTCCCGACTTGTTACCTTCGCGGGATTTTAACCCTTCGGCTCGCGGGTGGGCGGAGGGGGCTCGATTTGCTGCCTGGTTCTTTCAGCTTATGGCGCTGGTGTGTGGGGTGCAGCTCGGTTTGGGCTCCCCCCCGGGCCGGGCCCCTCTGCTGCCCTCAGCATCACAGGGCACCAGTTCCCGGGGCACTTCAGGCCAGGCAGCTCTCTTCCGGGGCCCGTTTACCCCTCCCTGTGCCCCTGGGGTGTGGGTGCTGGCGGGATGGAGGGGGAGCTCGGAGCCGGACATGGGCTGGGCCCAGCAGGAGAGCCGGCCTGGAGGCTGCTGCAGGCACAGCTCGGGGGGACAAGGGAGGTTCACGCACTCCCAGTCTGGGACAGGTCCCTCCACCCCCAGTGGGGTCCTGAGCACTGGCCCCCTCACACTGCTCTGCATTAGCCCCCCCCAGGTTTAGGGGGCTCAGGCCCCGGGGGGGGGGGAGATTGTGAGCAGCACTAAAGCGCTCTCAGAGCAGCCGGCCCCGGAGTGTGGGCCCCGCAGTGGGGCATGGTGGGTGGGGAAGGCTGCTGTCCACCTGGCCAGGCTGGCACTGCCCTGGACTCCGGGTACAGGCGAGACGGGGCCACCCTGGGGTGGGAAAGGCAGCGGGTGGGGCCTGGGCCATTCACTGCTCTGGCTTGGAGCAGGGCTGGGGGGTTGGTTCCTGCCTGGCTTGTTCTCTGCCACGGGCCAGACTGGGCTCCTCACCCCGGAGCAGCCGCGGGGCCTGAACCCCGGCGGACAACCCTGCCCCCAGCAACACCCCGGGCGAGGGCCTCTTCACACCGCTCCCTCGAACGAGGAGCCCCGGCGGGGAGAGGCTGCGGCACTGGGCTCGGCAGGGATGGCTGCGGGGCCCCAAGAACTGTGGGGCCTGGCTCGGCCGTCAGCAACTCGGCTCCAACCAGGCTGCAACTCCTGAGCAAGAGCCACTGCCCCAGCTAGGGGGCGCCGGGGAGGGGAGCAGGGGCTCGGCGGGGGGTGCCGGGCTGCGGGGAGGGGAGCAGGGGCTCAGTGGAGGGTGCCGGGCTGCGGGGAGTGGGGCTGGGAGCGTGGCAGGTTCCCCTGCTGGAGCAGAGATGGGTTGAAAGGGTGGAGACTCAGGACAAGGAGGTAGCGATGCCTGGTGGTTAGAGTGGGGGTGGGTGGGAGACAGGATTCCTGGGTTCTCTACCTGCTCTAGGAGGGGAGTTGGGTCTATGGCTT